TCGTTGCACCGACCTTGACGCACGGAAATTTAATATTTACAGAAATGAACATACTTTTGCATCGAACTTCGCAAAGAGATATTGCGACGAAACGAAAAATACGTAAGAATTTACATAACACGCGTTCGGTGCAGAATATAAATCGATAAATCACGATAAGCGAATTAATTTTGTGCGATTGGAACTTCTTGATCGAGAATGCGATCGATCGTTCTCTGTAGCGCGCGGTGTTGTCAATCGCAATTCGCGATCAAATTAAGTGCTATACTCATTTGATACCGATCACTCGGTGTTTGACCAAAAATACACCCATCGGATCGAATTTTGGTACGCAAAGCTCGCAAATGAACGAAAGAAGATATTATAAAAATAAATTGTTTTCGGAATGGCGTTTTCCTTAAAAATATGACAACTGAACTTTCTTATAATTAATACGATACAAAGATGTCGTTTTGTACACCTGTAAAATCGATTTCGTAACGACAACAGCTTTAACGAAATACTAATCATGAATAAAACAAAACTGCTATCTTCGTCGTGCTTTGTATGAATAAGAGTTCATAAAATATAATTACCAAAAAGGCCTGATGTTATCGAACCTATCTCGAATAATAGTCGCATCGTTTGAAACGTACGTTGTTATTCTAAGAAATCATAGCTTGAACGTAAAATAACGTCGTATAGGAATTCTATTATCGTTATTCACGTTACATCGTCTACGCGTAACGTGGCGTGTAATCTATCGATTGGATATTAAATGCAATATATCGACCTATCGGTTACTCGATTAAAACGTTCCGATAAAGATAATCGTTAAATCTGAAATTTGTGCGACACGATGCTTGCAAAACATAGGAAAAGCGACGATAAGTTGTTTCATTTTCGTTGTAACGTTTCATCGGAATAATAACAATCTTGTACACTGTATTACGTATCCGCGTGTTACCGGTTGTATTTATCATGGCTAAAGAAATTATCGCAAAACGGAATGTATGTAGGTACATATCGTGCGAAAAAGAAAAAAACAAAACAACTAGTTTCTAAGTATTCGCGTAAGGTACGAAGCACAACGCAAAAGGATCACGACGACGATAATTGAAGGTTACACAACAGGTTGTCGTAATATTTAGCAATGTCGGGTTAGAGAGTAGCCGAGTTTCCTGCGAGTCCTGCGACTCTCTCGACTCGTCGCATAGGCCTAGAACTGCCTAGAACCTCGGACGAACGTGGAAATTTGCTCGTGTCTTCCCACCATTGTGTCGTCGCATTTCTACACGCTGTTACATTTCTTAAATTACATAATTGGTTCGAACGCGGTATAATCGTTGCCGTATCGACTGTCGCTCTTATCTAGCCTTTCCTTTTTATACATCGCAAAAACTCGAAGACACTTTTACCCCGATGGCGTACACGCGCATTCCTAGATGTACAACGAGAGAATAAGCGATACGTTAAATTCGACAAAGAACGATAGGAATTAGCGATGACGCGCGCGTTACGCGTCGCGCAACGTCCTACACTTTCTCCGCGTCGCGTCGTCGTGATCGTCCTTGGTGTGCGCAATTCCCACTGTAGTTAGCGGGACAACTGTATAGTCTACCGTAACAAGAAACTTTTTTAGCATTCGATCGAATCGGTATGCGTTCCGATCTTCACACTTTCCAGCAATTCGGAAACGTTTTCGCTCGTTCTTCGCCTAACCTTTAACGAACCCGCTTTAAAAGTATTTTCCGTGTATACGCGTGTACGTGTACGTGTACGTGTACGTGTACGTGTACGTGTACGTGTACGTGTACGTGTACGTGTACGTGTACGTGTACGTGTACGTGTACGTGTACGTGTACGTGTACGTGTACGTGTACGTGTACGTGTATGTGTGCGTGTACGTGTACGTGTACGTGTACGTGTACGTGTACGTGTACGTGTACGTGTATGTGCGTGTATGCGTACGTGTTTAGAGTCCGGAAAATTTCGCAAACTCGCATTGTATGCCTGGGTATTCGGGTTTACTCGTGTACGCGTGAACAACGACAGCATTTTGCGCTGATCCGGATACATCCGCCAGGACGCAAGGATTCTGACTACCAGTATAGCGAGATAAGAAAGAGCACCGCGCAGCATAGCCGACAAGACTATCGAACGAGATGGACAAGAGCAACGGTTATAATTTCTGTACGATGTCGAACTTGTCCTTGAAGCCAATCGATTCCTTCTTCGGGTCGTATTTCTTGCGGGCAGCCAGCTGCGCTCTAAGTTCCTTGGCGCTCATCTTCAGGTTCAGACCCTGTCGTGGCTCGTTGCCGGCGACATTCCCGTTTCCGGTACCATGCACGTGCGCCATCGTCGTCTCGTTCCTGATGCCGTTCCCGTTCTCTCGGCCAGCTTCCTCGCGTTCGCTCTCGTTCTCGTTCTCGTTCTCGTTCTCGCTCCTGGTCGACGTTCTCGTCGCGTTGGCCGACACCGTGCTGCTCTCGCTGTGCGACGTGTCGTTCGAGGCACTCGATTTTTGCACGTTCTGAAAACAAGCATCATCCTTTACTCCGCTGCCTTTGCACGCTTACGTGTCCCGTCGTCGTTGTATCAAACGTTACATAGTATACGTAAAAAGAAAGAAAAAAGAGGAGGAGAAGGAGGAGGAAAATGGTAAGGAATGGTAAAAGAAACTCTCTCGTGGCGTATCAAGGTCGATCGGGTTGCAGCTACTTTTTTTCCAACCGCGCGCGTTTCGCGCGTTTCTTGACGATTGAAAATGGGTGGAAAGGAAACAACGGCGGCACACGGAGGCAATCTCGATGGGAATTTTTGACGGTGAAAAAGATTGGCCTTAACGAGGCGCGGTCGAGCGAGACAGTTCGATTTTCCGTTACACAACGCGAGTGTTTCACTTTAACGCCTGCCGATAGAAAGTAAAAGCGTGGACGCGGCAATTAATAGACGCGTTGCATCGGTCGCATTGTTCCTCCTTGGGGGAATCGGAGGAATCTCGCGAGCGGACACGGGGCAGGCAGGACTCGCGGCATCGGTCAAAATCGATGGACAAATTCGTGGAAAGAAACTCATAATGACCTTGGCTCCTGATGCAATATTCCGAACGGTACTTAAAGGAATTCCATCGGCTAAAGGCAAGCGCGAGGGAAAACCGGTTCCAAACTACACACCGTTTAAATCTCTTCGAAATAATGTTAGTCGGTTTGTCCTTCTTTCGGTACGCTCTTATCGCCCCCGGAATTGAAAGACTCACTTGTCCCGAAAATGTCCGGCGATCCGATCGCCACCTACGAAGCCTGCACTTGGCATGTCCCGTGCTTGGGCCGTAGCAACAGCTTGGGTACAACTGGTAACATTGGGGAATTAATGGCGATGATGCAACGAACGAAAACATTCGATATACGGGCGAGTGGAATAACGCTATGAATGGCTAACAGCGACACAGACGAAACGTGATGTAACAACCCTGTGTTTGGAAAACTTGGAGTTTCGGTGGAGTCGGGTATGGCTACAAATGACACCGGTATTATCCCGTGGTTCGATCGATCGCAGCCACGACGAACTTGTTTCGCACGTAATCGAACAGGGTTAGGATCGATCGTGACTGTAATGTTGGTGCCGAGGCGATTAATCATAGCGAGTATGTCTTTCGAAATTAAAGCGGAATGAAACGGAATGAAACGGAATGGAGCGGAATGAAACGGAAGCGCCGTCCTTGTCGAACGTCGCGTGTGTAAATGGACTGAGAGAAACGGGGGAAAAAGACGCGACGATGGGAGAAACGGAGAAAGAATTGGATCGAAGAGAGACGAATCGGCTGATGGTGTGCCGCTGTCTGGTCACGCGTACATTTAATTATTCTTCGAGCAGAGAAACACGATGCGCAAGCAATGCCCCGATTCCTTTCAGGAGGGGGATCCCCGTTATATGCATACGCATTCGGCCTGGCTTTTTGGCACGCTTTCTTTGAAAATCGCTTGAACGCGGCACACACGGGAATCGAATAAGAGCGGATAACGGAATTTTAAAGCCTAGTCGTTGCCATGAAAGGATTTCACCGATTTTACCGTGGCATCGTTCGACTCTCCGCCGCTGAAACGGTTCACGCCGCTTCGCGAAAATCTCCAAAGATTTTTTCCGCTCGTTGCAAACGATTTTCCCTCTCGTTGGTGCACCGTGCATGCCGCACTCTTGCTCTATTGCGCAATGGAAAATGGTGACAGGAAGTTGACCGGCAGCCTATACAGAGGCAATTAATTATTTACTACGCGAATGATCGGGCTCGCGGCAACGCAACCTTTTAAATCGTAAATAACCACGAACGTACGTACGCGCTTGTCCAGCTGGACGAGCCGAACACGCCGCGAAGCCAGCGCATTCGTGGAAACGAGTTATTCCCCTTGTCTCGAGTTGTTCTGCTTTACCCCGATGCATACAAGTTGGCGCACAACGCAAACACGAGTTGCACGATCGCGGATGCGCGTGCATCTTCGATTACGTAGCGCGGAACAAGGCGAAATTTACGTAATTTCGCGGTGGAAAAATGAGCGGAAATCCGGCAAATCCTATCGACGGAGGACGAATCGTTCGATCGCGAGATAGCCGCCATGATCGGGACGCGCGGGACGAGCGCGTATCGCGGCAAGACGATCGAATCCGCGGATCCCATGAAGACGAATTAAGGCCAGTGACGTGCCATTTTCTAAAGGAGCAACTTCCGCCGATTAACACCGTAATTGTTACATCCGAGAATGCCTACGATGCTGATATCGTTGAACGGCTATCAGCCTCTCGCTTCCACCGACATCCCGCGGCATCAGACCTGCAGATAAAAATCCTCCTCTTCCGAAGAAATCGCAATTTCTTCCAGAAAATCCAGCCTACGCGTTGTACCTAGAACGAGCAAGAAACGAATCTCCTGATACGCTTTCCTACGTGCCTTATCGCTCACTGAACAAAACGAATGAGTCATTCGGTGCTGCTCGTGAACGTTTACCTGCGACCAATGAATCGCACGGAAACAAGGAAATTAATACCGAAAGAGGAAAATTGGTTTTTCTACCAAGTCCGTTCCTGGAAAATACAGGATAAGACAGAGACAAAGACGCGTGCAGAGAGATAGGGTAGGGGAGGGGAGGGGAGGGTGGAAGAAACAAAGAATTACTAACGAGGAAACGATATGGTATACGATTGCGAGACCTTGAGAAAAAATTCCCAACTATTTGATTTTGCTTCGTACCAAAGCCGAGACTCTCGTCGAGCGTGACATGGAGAAGTAAATAACGAAACGTTCGAACGAGTATTAAATTTCGATCCACTCGTTTACCACTCGACGCGGTAAAATATCGGCGGAGTAATATCGATCGAGAATCGTTCGCTTAATTTTTCCCAAGGTTAAAAACGGTCTAGCGAACCGGGGAAAGGGAAGAATTCGAGACGACGTCGCCTGAAAGAAGAAGGAAAGTTCTCGTTGCGTAGAACGAACGATCGAAAGCAGAAGGTAAAAGGCAGAAGGCACGCGAGGATGAACATCCGCGGAGGCTGCGATAATGGTATCAACGCGCTGAACGCGTTATCGTACGATGGCGTCCCGCCGGAAAGGAGACAGCGAACGTCCATATCGCGAGGTCTTCGTCATTTTTAAACAAGCGAGTGCTACGAGTATCTACGATTTTATTACGATTCTAAAAGGTGGAACGCGCGATACAAGGCGATACGCAGAAGCTCGCAAACACTGATGCATGCGTTCGCGTGTTACGGCTGTCTAGCTATCTCGACATCTGTTTAGTCCGAACATTATTTTTGGCAAAAACGATAATAATTCTCGCGACGTCGGATGACTCGAGATTCGCTCGGGTTATCGAAGAAACACAGGTGACTCAGTGACCGAGCTTTCTCGGAATTAACGAACAGTTTTTCGCGTTAGCGGTAAATATATGTAGATACGTTGGGACAGCATCGCGCGATTCGTTGGCTTTTATTTTCGAAGTGTAGAACAAAAAACCACAATTCCCTGTCATTTCTACTTGTTTGTTCCAGCGTTCGCATACGGCGCGGCAAGACGGCGTTCCACGTATGGCGCGCTAACTTTTTTCCTCGTTTCTACTAGCCAACTGCGGTAAACACAGATGTTCGAGAGCGCAGCCTGCTGAAATATTTACGGGCTTATCTCTGAATACGTAAAAACCGATCGTCGCGTCTTTTATTTCGAGAAACGATAATACCGCGTTGTGTTGATAAAGCGAATCGCGGTGCAAATATCGCGGCATGATTATTTATAAAATGAAAATTCACCTTGGTACCGAGTAAAATATTCGCGAGAATATTATCGAGAAACGGAAAAGCCATTGCAGGAAACCGTGATTTATTATTCCGAGTAAATCGATGCGTTTGAATGACTCACGTCCGAAGATATTATCTCGGAACAATACGTCAGTTCTTAATTAAATTGTTCAATTATATATCGATCAGCGTTTGATAACGGCGAGAAAAAAATGGCGTGTAAATTTTAAAATTTCGAAAGATTACGTTGAAACTTAAGTATCGGAGGAAAAGAGATTTCGAACAAGAAACGCAGAGATATCGATCGCCTACCTGTGTTAAAGGTGTGATTCTATGCGAGGAGTCGGAACGGAATAGTCGAATGACCGATATACCGAAGCAACAGGTGGATCGACTCTCTCGCCTTCGTTATGGTTTTCGTGCGTCGGGCAACAGGTAACTTCGGAAACTTTAATTCGTTAACGGAGAAACCGAGGAATAAACGGTACGTACCTCATCCGTGGAGGCATTGCTGCCGTTCAGCTCTTCTTGCTCCACTACTCTTGCTCTATTCGGATTCTTCTCTGGGGTCTGGATCACCTTGACGTTCGCCATGGTGCCCTTGATAACGATGTTGTTGGCCCTGAAATATTCGTCGGCCTCTTGATCGACCACTAGAAGCTTCGTTTTATTGGGGAAGGCCTTTATGCGTTCAACAACCTGTTTATGGGTCTCGTTCGCGATGTTGATCTCATTAACCTCGATGATTCGATCACCTTGCCGTAAACCAGCGGCCTGACTAGGAGAACCATCATCCACCTTACCGATAAATTGGCCATTTTTTCCTTTTTCCGCGTGTAGGTTGAACCCATAGCCGTCAAAATCGTCCCACTTGACGATATGGCAAAGTCGTGCACACGGAATCTTATCACCCTTTAAGGAAGACATGTCTCACCCTCGTAATAGTGTAGCGCACAGAATGAAACGGAAAGCGACCGAAACGAATCGAGACTAACCAACGACTAGGCGACGAAAGAAAACGAAGAAAAGTAACGCGCTACACGGATGGCTACGAGAAAGTTTGCACACCGTGTCGCACCGCAATCGGTAACAAAATTTTCTCCGGTAGATCGACGATCGAGGCGCGGTCTCACGGTTTGTCCGTATCTCATACGGCGGCTGATTGACTAGGTGACTGGTTAGCAGGCAGGTTCGGCCTCGCCGATTTTCGTCTTCACCTGCCACGAGGCGATTATTCGAACCGACTGGCGGTATGCACCGTCGTGAGTCAAAGTGAATCGGTGAGCACTAGTGTGGGGGATTCGAAACTTTAAGGTTGGTTCACGCGTACGTGCGATCACGTGGCCAATCGCCGCGAAACGTATAACAATTGGAATATTTGAAAATATCACGGATTTAAGGATAACCGATCGAGAATCGCACGATCTTTTATAATACCAAGACCGAAATCGTACGAGGCACTGTCGTTCGCTTTGGTTAGGAACTAAAGACACGAAAGTAAGCGAGAAAGAGGAAGAGAAGGATTGAAAATCTTAAGAGAAGGGGAACTAGAACGAAGGTGAAGGCGGCACACCGATTACGCTGATATAGTGGGGTAGCTCGGTGCTGTTGTTACTCACGCGACGCAAATATAGCACCATCTATCGGTAGACCAGCAAAATTAAGTTAAATCTATTAACAAAATTGATTATAATTTTTCTATTTTTACGTTGTCATGCTATTTTGTAAATTATAATTTTCGGTCGTATTACTCCAATTCACGCTTTTCTTTGAATATTATGATATTCAGCGTAATTATTTTGTTTATCGCTTTATGAAAGAGGAGTCTAAACATTTGTTGCAAACGCGTATTTAATGAACAGGGATTGCATTAGCATATAAGATAAATTGAACAAGGAAATTATCTTCTCGCCATAAAAATATACCGTCCATGTGGTAAAGGAAAATAGTTTAAATTATTAAAATTTACTCGCAAAGAAAGAAGGTGTTTATAATTTGGAATATTTGTCGAAGATTTTCCTTGTGTCGTAGTTTATATGCGACCTAATTGTTGTGTGACTTTTATTATCCATCAAACTTCAACTCGTACGTTCTAAAATTTAATAAACATACAAAGAACAATAGAATACGTGAAATATTACGTTATTGTATACTCGATATTTGTTTCTTTAAGTGGAAAAATTCTCGAAGTTTGATGTATTGTTCTTTGAAAAATGACGTTTTTCGCCTTATAATTCCGAAAACTTGAACGCTTATACGTACGTTTATGATCATAAATTTACGTTGCATTTAATACGTATCTATATATATATACATATGTATAGTGGAAAATAACACAATGCCTTAATGCGCATAAGCTATAGGTTTTCAATCATTTACGCGATTGTTCTTGTCGAAAAAGTGATAATGAATCGCATTTTTAAATTTTAACTTCAATTTTTGACAAATTGAAATTTACGACGCCATGTGTTTGAAAACTTTCGAAATATATATGTATAGAATAGAATTTTTCAAACTAAGGTATACACGTGTTTTATATAAATTGGAATTTATGTTTATTTAAATGAAATTACAGGTGCACAAAATCAGATAAATTATTTGCTAAGTTGACACTACGAGTACAGAATCTACGATATGTGAATATGATGTAATCGAACAATCGGCATAATATCAATATAACAAACAATGATACGCTGAATATGATAAAAGGAGGTAAATCATACGATAACACAACGATGACGAATCTGTGATAAAATGGGTGTAAAGCGATATCATACACGACTGAGAGTTCTCCGAATATTTAACAAGTAAATTTACTACGCCAATAACAAATATTTTTTTTGTATTATTAAAAATTTTGTATTTTTCCTCTTCGTGTATGCAAAAGAAAAAAAATCGCTTGAATGTAAAATTGTTTTGTTATTATTTATCAATATACGAACCATCTAAAATCTTGAATTTAAGAAATGTAAATAGGACAAATGCATAAAACTTACAAAAAGTTAACTAAAAAAAAATAGGTGTTGTTTACTTGCACATTGGTTACGGGATTGTACGTAAAATGTTTGCATATTCAGTCGTCTAATTTCTGTTTGTGTATCTTCGTATTTTATCGATGACGAATCGTGAAGATTGCACATACAATGCATGAGCACATCGTACTACGCCTCTGTACTGCAATTTCATACTTCTACTAAAACATACGTGTTATGTTTTATTTCAGTCTCAGGCAAAATAATTTCTATCTAAACTAAATAAATCTAGAGGAATTACCTATTCTTATCTTATCGTTGAAATTATTCGAGTTTGGCAGAAGGTAGTATTTAAAATATATGTCAATTTTGAATTATATTATTTCTTTTCTTTTTTTTTTTTGCGAATAATACTCAACGTAACTTTTCAAAGAAATTAATGTACCATTTGTTTTCAAATGTAATTAATGACAAAATAGATGGCGTAAGGCGATCGAAACGTATCGTACGATCCTGAAGCGTGAGCGTGGTGGATGCGCGAAACTAGATGCGCAGTAGTTACCGTAATGGTGCGCGATGCGCAAAGCGGACGTAGCGGTTGTTCGAACACTAGTCAAGTATAGTTGTCGTTGATACATTGCGCCGCGGGTAGTTTGTTGTTGGCGTGGATCGTTTCCGTAACATATAGAGTTGTGAAAATCAAGACGCGTAATGCCAGTAGCCGGCATTAAAATAGTGATAGTTACGTAGATCGGTCCGACGTAGAAGGAACAACAGATGAATATTTGTAACCGTACGTTGTAACCGAATCGAACAAAATGTGGAGTCCGACGCACGTTCAAGTGACAGGTAAGTGTATAGGAACTTGAAAGTTCCTTAACATAACGGATAGGAATGTGATTTATGCGGCAGGTGGTTCGCACCGAAACAGATGTACTGTAAACCAATTACCGCTTACACGTAAGCTAGGTTACGTATCCTTCATTGAATGTAGGCGATCGAAACCTTGCAATCTCGTTACACATTGCCAGAAATATTTTTACCGAGAAAATAGATCTTCCACCCTGTGTTCTAGCAGTATACTTTTATATTGTAGAGGACGTGTCTTACTTAAGCGACCTCGATTGTCACGGTATTTTTAAATGGTTAATGTAGATCAACTTGCGACACGTTAATTCCTCTTGGCTAACGTTTACCACTGTAAAGCATGGAAAAAGCGAATGTCGAAGAAAATTTTCATCGCATTCAAGTGCAGCGTCGCGTAACGCGATAGACAGATTGGGAAGAAACGGTGAAAACTCGAATACCTTAAAAACACGAACGCTACTTTAGTCGAAAAGATAGCAATCTTACGTATACACATGCATATTTCCATTGCTTACGTGCGCGAATAGCATAAACTCGTGCATTCTAGTTCCTCGGTAGATGTAAATATTTTCATACTAGATGGACGTCTAGTATTAAAATCACGAAACACATTTTGCGACGTTTTTGAATCATGCCAAAGTAAGGACGATGTATTTAAACCGCGCGCGGTCGTCCGCGATCCTGATACTTGAATGAATCGAGTACTGACTGAAAATTGGTTTGTTTAATTCGTTTGTTAAAATTTGTACAACAAATATATATCGATACAAAAAAATAATCAAGGACATTTGATTAGCTAACACTGCAGTTTTTAACATGTTTTTTGTTTGAACATTCAATTGGATTAGATTTCCTGTTAATGCTGATTTTCAAAGCATCTACATGCGATTTGACAAGCTTCTAATACTTTCCTTTTGATGTAAAATAGGTAGAGTGTGAAAGCATATGTAGGAGCAGCTGATGATTCCCCTTCTTATTCCTATGCTCGAGTCCTCTGCCCAGTATCGTAGGTATATTTTTCAGTGCCCTTTGGTTTTAAACTAGGCGATATTTTTTCGCCTAATATAAGATAAATTTTAAACTATACTTTTCACCCTATTGCACCTATAAATAAAGCAATGAAAGAAAATTTGATATCATGTATGAAATTGTATGCAGTGCTATCTTTTGTTCCCATTATACTGAATTTAAGGATTTACATCGTGTCACGTGTAAATTGATGCAGATTTTTGTTTGCTGGTAAGAGAAACAGTATTCTAACTTAATTAACTGTGATCTCGAACCGTTAAGAATGTTCCTTTCCGAGTAAACGGTATTTGGCTGCAGCTGCGGTGAACATTTCGCTTCGTCTAATAGAGTCGTGGAAGTATGCAGCGAGAGAGTTGATTTTCCCATCCAATTGGCTTTGTTCAACGAGAAATCGAGGAACACCGTAGATTTTATGTGATCCCATAAAGAATCGCGGTCATCAACTACATTTCGTTTATTATAAGAAATATAAGATGCAATGCAGGAACAAATATTGTTCGCAGGTGCTCTCAATCAAATGTTCAGTTTGAATATTGGTATTTCATGGTACAATGCAGTGCCAAAGAACTTTATGCTGTTTGAAATATACGGTGCGATAGCGGCGAAAGAAAATTTCATGCGTTGGCGCTACGGTAGGTTAGGAAATATTGCGGGAGTTGGTCAAAAATAGCGAAGTAATAACGTGGTGGAAGCAAAGTTTTGCTGTAGGAATGCAAAGAAATAGCCAGGAAGCAATGCATTCGCAGTTTTATCGCGACAGAGAGAAGCGGATATGCTCAGGAGCCATGATATGCTTTTAGAAAATATTATCCCACAAATTCTAACAGCGACCTAGCTTTACGGACGGATCATATCGAATAACGTTTTATCGTTTGCGATGAAGTTACGCCTATGGCTACGCCTATTCCTCTTTATCACGTATTTGAATTTACGCAGATTTCGATGGGCGGAAAAACTGTCAGCTTCGACATTTAAAACGGTACACATATCGAAACACTTGCCACATTTCAAGATATCGGTCGTACCGAGAACTCGCGTCATTAAAAAATAATTCATAAAAATTTCTTTTTTTTCTTCTAGTGTTTAATACAATTTTTTCTTCTTTGCAGTTCAGAGGGCGAAAAGCTTATTAACCAAAGGAAAACACAGTAAGTATCGTTATTAGCCTAATTTTCACGAGAACGTAAATTTTACGTGATATAACAAACGCCCTGGCAATTATAATCGTCCTAGTCATTTTTACATCATACGCGTCGGATTTTGTAGGTCAACGTAATGCAATACATCGATGTCAGTATCTCTTTTTTCATTGAACCGCGTCTAATTTCAAAACAATGGTGAATCGTTTTTGCTGATATTGCGTAATTCGTTCTGCATTCAAATTGAATTTCGCAAAACGTGCAAACGCGTATAACGACAAAGTCGAGGAAACGGCGAGTCTTGAATATTTTAACGAAATGATTATTACATGTTGGATAAAACGTTGATAATTTTACGAATAAAAATTCGCCATTTTGGCTGTTTATTTTACAATGGCAACGTTATAAGTTGTGATGAGCTAACGATTAGCACTGTCTGGGCAGGATGAAAGATGAAAGAATCACGCGAAGATAATTTATGGGGCCAATAAGTAGACAATGGAAGCCGCCTCTTGCAAGATTTTAATATTCGTTATGTAGCTTGTTAATCCTAACCTTGCGGTTAACCATTTCCACCCACGTTAAACGCTTCAACCTAATAACGCAGAAACCAACGACTGCTTCGTGACGATTGCGCTCGGGAAAGAAAAATACCAAACGTCTGTGAAGGAGAAAGCATCGAAGGACGTGGAATGGCACGAGGAATGCGAATTACTTATACCGGAACAAGGAAACACAGCGGAAATTGTCCTTACGGCCCTTCATCGTAATTTCTTGGGAGTCGACGAATTCCTCGGTACTGTCAGCATACCCCTATCTAGCTTCGATGTTTACGAGAGACCAAGGAATAGATGGTAGGTTCTTCAATTTCTACTTTCCACGATAATTCAGATCACATTGTATATTCACATCGTGATTTGCGAATAAGGTAAAACATTAGAAAAACCATTTGGGTAATTTGTAATTATGCCTAGGTACGCACTTGGAAGTAAACCAGGCAAGGAAAATACGAAAGAGAGAGGTGAACTCGAAGTAAAAATAGGTTTCATTGTAAAAGCTGGTAGTCTAACCGATTTGAGTCACAAAGAACGTCACAAAAGTTCCCTTGGTCAGTTATCCACAGCCGCTCATTCGATCGGCGGAAGTTTACTCAGTATAGGTAGCTTTGAGAAACGGAAAGGTTTGAAAAAATTAGCCAAATCGATCGGCAATCGCGTGAAAGGAAAGAGCAAGCATAATTTGGACAAAGGAGACGATCTGGATGAAAGGGAGGAGCGTAAATTTAGAACTACGAGACAGGAACCTGGAGAGGCCGATCCTGGTGTTATTAGCGAGGACGAGGATGAATTTACGGTAAATTAGAATTTATTAATTTGTTGCCACTTTAAATAGTTATTATTATACTTCGTACAATAATTCGAATCAATTATAAATTTCAGTTTGATGATTTATCTCATAAAAGTTCGGCATCATCTTTAAATGCTCCAGTAGTCGGTGGTAACAGTAATAGTGTAGGTTCAGTAGCTTCGAGTGTATCTTCGGGCAATAATTTCGAGGCACATCTTCCACCGGCGCCAATGAACGCCGCACCTAACAAACCACCACGATTTTCCATGAGTGCTTCCTCCACTTCCTTATCCAAAGTAGACAATATCAAAGACGACGAGTGGGGTTTGAAGCTTTATGGTAAACAAGTTAATAATAATGTTAAAAGGTAAATAAAATTCTCTCTCGTTGAATGATCATGTTAAGACAAAAAGAACTGTGTTAATATATTTTGATATATTTAGATGGGAAAGTAAACAAAGTCCGAAAATTGTAATAGACGAACCAAAGGACGAACATCGCGAAATATCACCTGTAAATTCGCCTTCTTCGACTTTGAAGCGTCAAGAAACTTCAGAGATCATAACACCTGCCCCGCGTGAAGTTTTGCAAATAAAGAACAAACTTGAAGACAAATTTGTATCGAATAAGGAAAAAAATGTAAAAGAAGAGAAATTTAAAGAAAAGAAAGAAGACAAATACAATTGCTGGAATCCCAGAGATGAAAAGCAATTGAAAAAGGACAAGAAAAAGGAGAAGGAGAATAAATTTAAAGAATTTAATGACGATAATAATTTATCTTCGGAAAGAATTATCATCGGAGGTGAAGATGCAATTAAACCAACAGCGACAATGAAAAGCCACCTGCCACATGAGGTTCTCACACAATTCGAAGGAAAATCGAGAGAAGTAATTACGTTGCTTTACTATTGTTATTATTCATAACACGATGAATTAAAGACTTTAAAAAACTTAGAATAATATATGATATTAAAATTTTGTTGGTACAGGATCTAATCGAATTAACGCTACAACTACAAGCGGAAGTAACAGAAAAGAAGAAACGTTTAACTGACTTGGAAGATTATATAGATGCACTATTACTGCGAGTAATTGAATGCTCGCCGCGCTTATTGCAAAACCCATACCAATCACAGAGACGTTTGTCTTCGCCTGGACACCAATAGATAATTAATCGCTTTCCCGTCCTGATATTTTCTGATAATGTTAAGATTAATTGTATTCTTTGAAAGAATTAGTGATAGTTGCATAGAGCTACGTTCAATGTATACCAATCGTTTCGTACACGTTTAACTGCAACTACTTTGTAGTACACAGGCTTTAATTTATTTTCAACTAACAATTAGAACTAAATAATTTGCATGTATTCCTCAATGACGTTACTTTTTGAAGTGTATAAATTTCTGTTGAATTTTTAACGTTTTGTTATCGTTTCAACAAAGAATGTTATTAAGGTTTATGTATATGTATGTTTTAAAGGGCAAAGAAAAAGTGCAGCGTTTGTGCCAATTGTTATAAAATGAGAAAAAAAAATTGCAAATACTCCCCTAGTCTTCCCAAAAGAAACAATTGCTTATCCCAAAAAAAATGTTATTTCCGTCCAAAGTACGATCCCAACAAATACTATTAAAATATTTGTATTTTTGAATATTTACATGACAATTTCTTCATACAATATGTATGATATTTTCACAAACATATTTAAAATAAATAAACTATTGATACGTGATTTAATTATTTTATCAATATTTTACTTTCATTAATACATATACTATGGATTGTAAGATTGTTGTTGTTATCGCAGTTATTATATAAAACAAGATATTATATATGAATTTACAAGGTGTATATAATTTAATAACCATAAATTATGTAATAATTTTTAAACGTACAATTATGTTAGAAATAAATAGTATAATAAATAGTAGAGCTGTATGACGAAAAAAATGTTTATATGTGATCAATGTTTATAGTTTGTGTAGTCGTTATTTATTCTAATGTACCCGTGGAGCTCGAAGTAACATGCTGGTTTCCTATTGAGATGTCCGTAAAACGATAGTGTCGTTCGCTTATGTTTTCATTGTGATTTCTCTAGTAATTTCATTAGAAAAGATAACATCTTTTTAACAATTAATAATGACAAATGATATAAATGATAACAATTCAAGTAATTTAAATACAGTATCTGGTAAGTCTTTATATTCTTACTAACGTTTAGCTTTTGACACCGGTCATGTGAGGTTAGATTTCTCAGAGGCACAACCTTTTTATCGAGCATAAGGACTCTTCAGAATTTAAAAATAATTCTTTTTAATATTTTTATACTGCATAAGCTAGTGAGTTCTATAGGTTATATAGGGTAAGAAATATTTTAATCATAACTATGGTAGTATTCGAAAATTTCAAAGGTGACCTTAAATTACGAATCTTCTACTGTTTTTACATATATGCCATGTGGTCGAAAGATATGATTTATTTCTGCATATAGGTGTTCTTTTTAGAGCGGAACGTTCTTTTTAGCCTTTAAATTCAAGTTGAACATGAGAAAAAGTGAATTTAACAATAATAAAGTGTAATTTACAGGCTCATCCACGATGGAAACATGCACAGCAGGTCCCTTAGTGTTGTATTCGACAGCCCAAGCATGGGCAGCTCAGTTTCATCGCAGTTTTATGCCTACAAGGGTATCAGAATCATCCGATGAAGAAGACTTTTCACAGTATCAATTTGAAGATGACTTGGAGTATCTCAGGTCATTGGACCCAAAGGAGTGGAAAGATCAAGATCATTATGCCGTGTTAGGATTGAAAAAACTTAGGCACAAAGCAACCGAGGAGATTATAAAAAGGGCTTGTACGTAAAGAAAGTTCAAAGTATACTCTGTAAAGGAATGTAGGTGTTATATCGTTCAATGTATTGCATGACACAATGATTAACGCGGTTGAGGAGTATTTGATGCGTGAATTACAGATAAGCAGAAAATTCTTAAACATCATCCCGATAAACGCAAGGCTATAGGCGAGGAAATCCGGCCAGACGACGATTATTTCACCTGCATTACACGGGCCTGGGAAATTTTGGGGAACCCCACAAAACGTCGAAGTTACGACAGCGTGGATCCGTACTTTAGCGATGATTTACCAGATGAAAAAGATTGCAAAAATAACTTTTATGCGGTAATGGGTCAAGCGTTTAAAGAGAATGCTAGATGGTCTACGAAAAAGCCAGTACCGCGCTTAGGTGGGTTAGATACACCTAGGAATAAAGTAGAGAAGTTTTATTCGTTTTGGTATCACTTTGATTCGTGGCGCGAATATTCCTATTTGGATGAGGAAGACAAAGAAAGTGGTCAAGAGTAAGTGTATCTTAATTATATTTTTTTGATATTTTTTATTATCTCTAATATTTATAATCATCTATATATAATAACCTTCTCAGTCGCGATATGCGTAAGTGGATCGAGAAAAAGAACAAAGCAACACGGGCAAAACGAAAGAAGGAAGAAATGGCACGTATACGTACTTTGGTCGATATGGCGTATAATACAGATCCCAGAATAAAGAAATTTCAGCAAGAAGATAAAGATAAAAAGACAGCAGCAAAAAAGGCGAAACAAGAAGCAGCAAAGGCGAAACAACAAGAGGAGGAGCGAATAGCGAGAAATGCAGCAGAAAAGAAAAGATTGGAAAGGGAAAAGCGGGAGATCGAAGAAAAAGCAAAATTGGATGCGCTTAAGCAAGAGAGAGATGCACAAAAGAAGGCGCTCCGTAAAGAAAGAAAAGCATTGAGAGATTTTTGTAAAGCTAATAATTACTTTGCTCAAAATTCGGAGGAGAATATTAGGCACATGGAAAGTCTTGAAAAAATTTGCGAACTTTTTAAATTGGTTCAGTTAGAGGAGACGATGAAAAAATTACAGGCCAAGGGTAGAGTCGCGTTTCTCGATATCATAAAAGAAACAGAAAAGAAAATAGAAGCTGAACGTAGAGCTGGTATAACATGTAACGATATGCGAAATACACCGGAAAAGCAAGTAAAATCTCATACAGCACCGTGGAGTGAAACTGATCTACAACTTTTGATAAAGGCGGTAAATTTATTCCCGGCGGGAACAAATCAACGCTGGGAAGTTGTTGCAAATTTTATCAATCAGCATAGCACCTCTTCTACTGGCGTTATGCGTGACGCGAAGGAAGTTCTTGCAAAAGCTAAAGATTTACAGTCGACAGATTTCAGTAAATCTAGTCTAAAGGAGCAAGCGAACAAGAAAGCTTATGATAATTTTGTCGCCGAGAAGAAAGCCAAGGAATCTGTCGAGGATCGAATGCCAGCGGTCACGGAACGTCTCGATCATCCTATTTCAAACGGCGTTAACTCCGAACAAAAAGATTGTAAGAAAGAGTCGCAACCTTGGACTCCGGCAGAACAGAAACTTTTGGAACAAGCCTTAAAGACTTATTCTACAAGCGTGCCTGATAGATGGGATCAGATAGCGGCATGCATTCCAACTAGGACGAAAAAAGAATGCATGAGGAGGTATAAGGTACGTTTTGAACAAGTAACATTTGCAAATGCATCTATATTTTCTATATTTCATAATTTTTTACGTATGCAATCGTTTGCAGGAGCTGGTCGAACTCGTCAAAGCAAAAAAGGCGGCACAAGTGATGAAATAATATTAGTCTGTCCTTAATATGAAAATTCTTTTTAACTTATTAAATTCGGGTACAAACAAATTCATAATTGAGTTTGAAAAACGGATGAATTTTAGCTTTTACCGAATGTCGGCTATTGTATATACTTGTGCCTTGCTTTAGTTTGTACATGCACAGTTTGCTACAGTTCTAGGAATTTTCTGCTATTTATACGCAAGAAAGCAATTGCTGCACCTAGTGACTGTACATTTATCACAATCGTTAACTGCATGGAAAATCGTGGTCCCAAGGTTCGAATTGACGCTTCCGAAAATTAATCTTTTTTCATATAACAACCCTTTTGCAATCGAGCGATCAAAATGTCTTGTAAGTAATGTAAAATACGATACTAAATAGCAATTGCCGTTTAGATCGAAGCGTACATACTTTATAAATAAAGACGAACGATATTTCGAAAACGCGTGTTTTCTCGATGTCCACTCGAACATAGAACCAGACCATGAGATGTTTGAAATTCTTATATTTTTAATTTGACACATTTTTGACAACATTAACAACAACAATTTTTTGTGTTAGTTCCTTTCTATGCAGCGAATACTGTCCATGCAGTTCCTTCGTCGTTCTCGCCAGTCTCGTGTGCACAATATCGGAACCACATGCACGTATTTAGCATTCGAATGTCTCTGCGCTCGATATTTCGCTTTACCCAAAACTGGTTTAGAATCTCGTTTAATTGGTTTTGAAATCATATCGGACGAAAGGTCGACTTGTTCCGAGTAAACAAAGCGAAGTATGGAACACAGATTCATTATAGGTAAATCTTCCGCGTGTTTGAAAAACAGAGAAAAAAAAAGAATATGATTACTGTAAAGCGTAAGCCTAGTGGCTAAGTGAGTTTCGGATGCTTAACTTCTTTGGTTAGGTGCCTTCCGACACTTTGTTTGAAAAAAATGTAAATACAGAGTGACCGATATCTTCGATCGACGGAGACACTTGTCCGTTTGTTTCACTCATTCGTATGACAAATATGTTCAGTTGTTTGGCTTTTCGCGAATGCAAATGTCGCATTTCTTTCTCTATAAGTGTTACTCTGGTGCAGAAAGAAACTTGGGTTTGCGTTTAAAGTTGCACCACGCGTTTCATTTTCTTTTATCATTTCCTCTCTACGAACCAGTTTTGTAGCGTGCGATAGAAATCAGTGATGTTTCAAATCAAGTTCCGCAATTGTGTCTGATTTTCGTTTCGACGAAGGAATAGAAAGTCATTCGAACGTAAGGGTTATAACGCGTCAGATATTGCCATTCTGGAATCATTATTTGGGTAATATGTTTGTTCATCGTGCGCTACAAATCATTTAGAACAGAGGTTACGTACGGAAACAGATGGAAAGAATAATCCTCCTTGACAAGTAGGAAGCAGTAAAGGAGCAAAAATGGAAAAAGAAAAACGGCAGTATATCGTGAGCATGTCTGTTGGTTGTGCACCTTAAGGTTGTGGATCTTAACTCTGTAAAATTCCTAATGGACTAACAAGAGTCGCAAATACGCAAGTAGTACCCGTTCTTTTTTTTCTTTTTTTCTTTTTTTTTCTTTTTTCTTTTTTTTTTTTTTTAACGAGATACATAAATCACCAGGTCTGGCATGGGAGCACGTTTCCTCGATTTAGACATTTGCGAACAGATCTTCGAAAAATGTGAAAGTTACGATTCGATCAGTTTTAACATCGGAACATACAAATAATACCGTTACGGGTAATATGCTTGTGGAGAGAAGCAACGAAGATGAGCAATCGAGTTAAAGGTAGTCAAACTTAAGAATACTCGGATAAAATTACATTATATATCACGTTAATTTTTACTTTATTTTCGACAATATGAACTTTATCATTTTATCAATTGTTAAACCACATTTAATCGATTAATCGTATTGTGCGTATTAATTGGATATCGTAACGTAACTGTATTATTCGTATAACCGATTAACGATAGTTGATTCGCCACTTGACTTACAGAGTTCAGAATGACTGCTTCTGAAAATCGCTGTTTCTAACGTATCGAATAATAATTGCCAATAAAGAAGGAAAGTAAACGAAAGTACATAAACAGTTTGGGAATCGGATCTAAGAATTGTGGAAGCCTCGATGATGTTCAGCGCAATCAAAATACACCTAATCTCTTTTCCGAAGTAACCAATAAGACGAAGATTGCCACTTAACCGATTAAAATTCAGGTTAAAAAATGTTAAGCTTCGAAGATGACAAATACAGTTTAAAAGTTGATATTTCGATAACGGGTGTAGAAAGAAAGACAAATAAGGCTGAAGAGGAATGACGTTACTCTTCGCTACCAAACATCAATGGTCGAAGTGTCTTTGACAAAGTGGGTCGAGTATGTCTCCTAAGAAACGATGATGGCATTTATGGGAGCATCGTTTATTACCGTGTCGATATAAGAACGTCTTAATAAAAATAAACGGTGCGAGTAGCGTGTGTGAGTGCCAAAGCTGTGCCACGAGTCCGGCAGCATGGGTAAACGCATCGAAGTGCAAGATTCGAAATATCGAAAGCTCGATCGGAAGGTTTATCGCGTCTTCTCGATCTAGTTTCGAGAATTTGTCGTTTCGTATGTACTAACGGTCTACGCCTAACAGAATAGAATCACCGTATAACTTTGTTACAACCGTTTGATACAGGATTCACGGGAAACGGCATTTCTCGATAGTAAGGTGATCGTAAATACGTTTAACCTGTGATCGGGACGCTAGGTGGCACGCGAACGTATGCGCACGTCTGCCGTTAGGAACGCGAATCTTGCGCATCGAATGTTTCGACCAATGGCTGACCGTTTCGATCGTAAAAGATCGTCAATACCGACTGTGCATGGTGTGTAAAGTGTTTAGAGTAGTGGCACGATGAACGAATACGTTGGATGGTTGACTGGACCGCAAAGGCTAGCGAGACCGAAGAAGGAGGCATTAAAAGGACCGATTTCCCGCGAGTTTCAAATCGCTTGCCTCTCGTTCAGTGTATACATATACGCCGTACGTTTCGATGATCGTCAGTCTCGTAACATAGAAAACGTTGGTCTCCCTAAACGCGTCTATTAAACACTTAAGCGATAACGATATATCGTGCATCGCTCTTAATCCGACATTACGATTTAAAGGTAAGAATTTTTTCTTCTACGCGTATATTCTACGGATCGGTGTAAACGCCACTTTACAACAGTATAAAAAGATCGCTATAGACAAATACATAATTATTGTTAAAAAGACGCTGGAAAAAACGAATACGAAAGGTTCGACTATATATAACGCGAATAGCATCCTCAGGACGATTGGTAATATCGCGCGCGACTTATCGTGGCAGAGATATCGGTTTCGCTTTCTACGAACATCTTTTCTCGCCTGTCTACTCCACATTTTTTCCTTCTTTTATTATCTCATTTTAAATTGTCGCATCGATAAAGCCGCGCGTATTATTACACCGACTGTCTCGGCTCCTCACACACACCACGTACCTATGTTTTAGTACTTCTAAGAAAATGTCCAAAGACGTGTCCGTCGGTTGGTTTGTTTCATTTTAAATAGCGTTTTAGTTTTCTTTGGTTCCCTTGTTGACGAATGGCTCGCGTTCGCCGCGGCTCTACGAACGTATTCTTATGTCTTACACGAATGCATACATGTATACCATTTACTATACATATACCTAAAAAGATCGGTCTTAGATTTTGAAGTTGAATGAAAATATACTTGAAACGTAACTGAACGAAGAAATCGAGATTACGAGAAAAGAAAAGAAAGGAAACAGAGAGTTTTAAAACACGAGTGGAAAAGAAACGCAGCACGGAGAACGTAAAAGTGCGAAAAATGGGTAACGCGTTTAGCGACGAGTCGAAGGTAGAACGTTTAGAATCGATATGCTATCGGGAGGAGTCCAGAGAACGTGGTTCTGAGAAATATCATCGATGAAAATTATTGTCGAAGTCATTTCAAGGTACACGAGAGATTGAACGGTATCGATTGTTTCGGGTTTCCTCAAAGTTTTCTCGTTCTCGGTCACGATATCCTTCTCGAGAATGCTTTGAGAGAAAGAACGGTGAATTCTGATCGCGCTCTGTTTTCGAGGAAAATTCGCGACGTCGCCTCGCACGATGCGCCGCGCGTCCATCGTTTCCGATTCAAATTTTCGCGCCGTCTAATCGGATAGCACGTTCTCGGTTCGACAGTGGCGTGTCGGTGAACACTTTTTCGTTACGCCATGGTCTCTGCGTGAAGAAGCTGCGCACGCACACTCGCTTCGAGATGTTCACTCGAAATCCCTCGGTAAGGTTTACGGCGCGCAAAATAGCTCGATTAGTCGTTGGAATATCCGCAGAACCACGTGTCTATTGGATGTTTTCCATTTTTTTTTTTTTTTTTATTCTTTTCTTTTTCTTTTTGTCTTCTTTGCATACTTTCAACTTTGCGTACGTTCAACTTGCAATCTTTCCTCCGATCGAATCCGATACTCTTCATGCTCGTCGTCGAAGCGCCTGCCCCTGGTTTCAGGTCTCCTATTTTCGCGAGGAACGAGCACGCGAAATGTTCGGGTAGTCGGCGAAGCGACGATCGGATGAAAGGTCGAAGATCGCGCGACATCGTTACACGACTTTGTGCGTGGAAGGGAACGGCTGTCATTCTTGACCGGGCGATTCGTTGGCCGGGCATGGGTGCCACCTATGTTCCTCTCTCGTTCACATATACTCGCACACAAGCTGTCCCTGTTGCTCCGCTGTCTCTCCTCGCTCTCTCTCTCTCTCTCTCTCTCTCCCCCTTTCTCTCCCTCTCTTTCTCTCTTCACTCTCACTCTCTCTCTCTCTCTTTCTCACTCCCTCCCTCTCTGTTTCTCTGTTTCTCTCTCTCTCTCTCTCTCTCTCTCTCTGCCTTTCTCTCTCGCATGCTCGTACACACGAACACACGCAAACACGCGCGCGCGCCGCAAGAATAAACACGTGCGGGTGGAAACTTTGTCGAGTCATAATTTGTAAGAGCGACGAGCTCGAAAGAGAGGAGAAAAGCAAGGAGACATGGTCGAGAAGGTTGGATAGGAGAAACTTGGCGTCAGCGACGGACAGGAATACAAAATGGAGGGAGAGACGGATCGTATCGGATGAAAATGGAACTCGAGTCTCGCTCTTTCGATTGAGTCGCGCAGTGTCGGAGAAATTTACAGGCGTTAGTGGTGTCTGGGGGATAATTCGGTTGTTATCCGGATCGTGCCACGTTTCTACTCCTGACGGATCATGCGCGTACACCAATTCACCCTCCGACGTACAAACAAATATCGCAGAGGTCGCGTTTATCGGCCATTCATCCTCGTGCAGCAATTATTATACCCGCAACGTATATGTACAATTATATACGTATAATAATAATAATAATAATAATATTAATAATAATAATAATGATGATGATGATGATGATGGTG